AACACGTTTTGTTCCGTTCAGTTGTGGATGCAGCTGATTCACTGAGACCGCGCGCGTGTGTGTTTTCCTTTGAAAAAGTTTCCTCAGAAATAACTCGCTATTTAATGCATTTTCCCTTACAAATTGTATTAAAAGCATAACAATTTGCCATCCTTCTAGAACAATGTGCATTTATGTTAAAATTGTAACATAAATGATCAAGTTTAGTTATTTTTATTTCTTTATTGCAAAACGCTAAAACTGCCACCGTTTTGGAGAGAAATGGGCACTCATTTTAAATACTGTTTCCGTGCTTTTTTAATGTATTTTAAAGAGTTGGCAGTCAAAATTAAAACTGCTGGATGAAAGATATTCTTCAACAAGATAATGTGAATTACAGAATGTACAACGTTTTTAAAATATATCTACTCATGAGTACTTTTAAATAGGCTACTCTTTTACTCTTACTCAAGTAGTTTTTTGGACAAGTACTTTTACTCTACTCACACTACATTTTTTGGAAGGTAATGGTACTTGAGTATATTTTTTCAGTACTCTTTCCACCACTGCCCTCTTCTGCAGATAATTTTAATCATAAAAGCACTTGGTAGTGTTTATAACACCTCACTTCCTAAAGATAAAGCAATATTCATTGAAGGAATAGTTCACCCTAAAAAATTACTATCCATCTGTTGCTATTTACTCACCCTTGAATCTATGAAGAACCTTCACACAGTTCCAGGTTGAAATAAATAAATAAATAATAAATTATATATATATATATATATATGACCCTGGACCACAAAACCAGTCATAAGGGTCAATCTTTCGAAATTGAGATTTATACACCATTTGAAAGCTGAATAAATAGGACAATATTTGGCTGAGATACAACTATTTGAGTTGAGGAATCTGAGAGTGCAAAATCTAAATATTGAGAAAATCACCTTTAAAGTTGTCCAAATGAAGTTCTTAGCAATGCATATTACTAATCAAAAATTAAGTTTTAATATATTTACAGTAGGAAATTTACAAAATATCTTCATGGAACACAATCTTTACATAATATCCTAATGATTTTTGGCATAAAAGAAAAAGCTATAATTTTGACCCATACAATATATATATATATATATATATATAGTTTATATAGTACATTTGTTAATGCATTAAGTAATATGAACTAAAATGGGCAATAGATTTTTTTACAGTATTTATTAATCTTTGTTAATAAAAATACAGCTATTTATTGCTAGTTCATGTTAGCTCAGGTCTGTTAAATAATAATAACAGATACAACTTTTCATTTTAATCATTTACTAGTATATTGTTTGTTTAATATTAAGATTCATTAAATAAATTTAATATAGAAGATTTTTTCATTGTTAGTTCATGTTAACTAATGCAGTTAACTAATGCTAATAAATGGAACCTTATTGTAATGTTACCATTCGTATTAATTATTAATTAATATTTAAGTGGGATGATTTATTTTTTAAATGATGGGTTTAATCGTATCACACTCGGACATATAGCGGATACACTACCGTTCAAATGTTTGGGGCCAGTCAAATTAGTTTTTTTGAAATACATTTTTTTCAGCAAGGATGCATTGAATTGATCAAAAGTGACAGTAAAAACATTTATAATGTTCCAAAAATGTCTATTTCAAATGTATATTTCAAAAGTTATTTCGAACTTTCTATTTATCAAAGAGTCCTGAAAAGAATGTATCACTGTTTCCACAAAAATGTCAACAGCACAACTGTTTTCAACATCAGTAACAATAAGAAATGTTTCCTGAGCAGCAAATCAGCATATTAGAATTTCTGAAGGATCATGTGACACTGAAGACTGGAGGATTGATGAGGAAAATTACATTTTAAAAAGTAATTCAAAAACAGTCATTATAAATTATAATAATATTTCACAATATACCTGTTTTTACTGTATTTTTTATCAAAGAGATACAGCCTTGGTGAGCATAAGATACTTCTTGTAAAAACATTAAAAAATCTTCCTGACCCCAAAATTAGTTTTGAGCAGCTGAATTTTATTAGAGCAAATTGCAGCTGGACACAATTGAACAGAACAGTGGAGATTTCACTTGTGTGGCCTATTTTCAAGTCTCTGACATTCAGCCTACATCAAGTGTTCCACTCATGCGCTGTAAGTACATGTAGTTTAAAAAAATCCCTGTGGTTTCACAATTTCTTCCATCAGTTGACCGCTTTAGACTTTAGACTCTTCCATCTCCTCTCTCGGTTGCTTGGCAAGAACAGTATAAACAGCATTAGGACCATCTTTGAGCTTCTTCTCTCCATCTAGAGGTATGTTTGTGACCTTCGCCTGTTCCCGACTGTAAATAAAGATGACAAACACAACATCTATGGCCTTAATACATTACAGAAGACTGGCGCAAACCAGCACACATGGACTGTGTGATTGTGTTTAACCTGGGCATGCGAGAATAATGCACCGTAATGTAGTTGATTTTTTCCTGTTCCTCAGCGCTCTGAGTAGCTTCTTTCAGGGGCACGATGGAAGGTTGGCTGCTTTCATAAATCTCCTCCGGCTCCTCCTGAACCAGGCACAAAATAAAACACTCATGAGTTTGGAGAGTATGACTCAATTCATATACTATCCATCCTCAAAGAGGACATCGGATGCAAAATTCACTTTTACTGTACATGGTGCTTGCATATAAATGTGTCTTAGCATTGTGTGGACACAACCACTCTACATTGATAGAAATCCATTCACTCCTTTTTTTAATTCCCAAAAAACTGATACAGACTCAATTATCAAGCCGTTTTGATTTTCTGAGCAGTATGACGTCATAGTGCTTAGGTCCCGCCCACGACAGCCGACGGACTGTCCCGTATTAGCATATTTACGCATATTTGGGCATCCGATGTCCCATTTAATATCAAGACTACAATCAGTGCATCACAAATCACAGATCATTATACAACTTTAGCATTTAGTGCCTGTCATGCAATACTATTTCTGGTATAGATTTTCAAACTTTTGAAACACATCCATGATTGTTTTTGGGTTAATGTTGTTATTAATAACTTGTGCAATGGAAGAAGATGAGGCTGAGACTTTTTTGTTGAGCAAAGGTGCTGAGTTTTTTAAAAGTATAAACCTAAAAGTTATGTAATAATTAATTTTGAGATAGGAAATTAAGCTAATAATAATAATGCCCGGTGGTATAAAGACTATTTCATTATGATATAGTATCTTACTACATACTGAAAAGTATATCTTGTTTCCAGCGCGCATACTTTTAGTCTGTTATAAATATGTGAATTGCGTCCCAATTCAAATATTTATTCTACAGAGACTGACATTAGTGCACAAAGAAATCAGATTTTCAAGAAAAATGTATTATCAATGTTGACAACAGTTGTGCTGCTTAATATTTTGTGGAAACCATGATGCATTTTCTCGGAATTCTTTGATGAATAGAATAGAAAGAACAGCATTTATTTAAAATAGAAATATTTCATAAAATTACAAAGATCTTTACTTTCACTTTTGATCAATTTAATGTGGAAGCCTATTTCCGCCAATGAATAAAAAAGGTAATTGTGACTTTTTATCTCACAATTCTTAGTTGTTTTTTTTCTCGTAATTGCACATTCATATCTTGCAATTCTGGAATGTTTTTATTTTTTGTTCTGAGAAGTTCTTAACATGTTGCTATGTGGTTGCTAGTGTATTTTAGATGATTGCTTATTGCTCACTCCAAAATGACCCACTTAGATATGGTTTGGTTCCCTTTTTCAATCATTTACAAGGTGAAATTTTTAAATTTTGAAAAGAAGTAGCATATGTGTCCTACATAAACTGGACAATGTGCGGTATCAATCATGCCCATGGCCTAAACAATGTGGGATGAGTCACGTACCAAAGTTTAATACTGAATCATTTAAACACACCCCTAACCCTAAGTATGACCAATGCTAGTAGTACTAGTGATGTTTGACTTAAGTATGACCAGTGCTAGTAGTACTAGTGATGTTTGACTTAACAAGTGACAACAGGAAGTAAATACTCCTTTCATGGCTGTGCATCATGTGGTTTCCCGATTTGCCCTATATTTGTACACTTGATTTGAACTTTGATCTATTGGAGGGAGACAGACAATGTGACATAATGTCCTGCCAAAATCAAAGTTATTACACAAGTACCAGCGACTGAAATAAATCTCTGCACTCACAAAGACATCAGATCAGCAACAGTGGAAACATATGTCTGATTAGGGAAATTAAAAGTTCAAATGTCTGGTGACATTTCCAAAGTAGGAAATCAGGAAATGATCCTACTCACTGATAAACTGCACATCCTGCAGCTAAAAAGCTTCAATATTTAGAGATGCATGCTGAAAGGTTCTTTAGAATATTATATTCTTTAAACTAAGAAATGGTTCTTTTATTAACTGTTCACTGAAAGGTTCTTCGGGGAACCCAAAATGTTTTTCTATTGCATTGCCACACAACCCCCCCTTTGGAACCTTTATTTTTTTAAAGTGTATGCAAACAGACCTGCACTGCTTAAATCATTTTTTTTCTGGCTACATAAAAATAGAGACAACCTACAGGTAACATTCAGTAAAATCGGTCTGGACCGGTCTGTGCCGAGCGGGTTACGGGCCACACAGAAGTACTCTCCATGGTCCCTGTAGTCCAAACTCCACAATCTCAGCTCAGGTCTAAAGCTGTCTGGCACACTGCCACTCTCTCCTTCTTTAAACCAGGCAAAACTTTCTGCTGGCGGAGCTCCATCACTACTGCAGGTCAAAGTCACCGAATCGCCCTCTCTGACTGCCTCTCGGGGGGTGATCTGTATCGTGGTGTAGCGAGGAGCATCTGAGACACAGAGAAAGAGAGAGGTGAAATGCAATTTCTAATGGGAGAGCGCGGCTGACAGTAGAATTTACTGTATTTACAGTTTTATGTATTTAATACACAATATTTAATGCACAGCTGATTCCTTGAATAGCTTTTTTTACTTGATATTGAATAATACATGTATAAAATCAGCTAATTTAGATGTTACCATATGCAGTATGTACTATTCAATAATGTTTTGTTGAACATTTATTTCTTTTTTCTTATGCTCACCAAGGCTGCACTTATTTGATCAAAAATGCAGTTAAACAGTAATATTGTGAAATATTTTACACTTTAAAATAACTATTTTTTATTTCAATATATTTTAAAATGCAATTTATTCCTGCTGTGACAAAGCTGCGTTTTGCCGTTACTACCATGTTCAGTGTCACATGATCCTTCAGAAATAATACTAATATGATGATGATGACATTTTATATATATATTTTTTTTTTACTACACATACAGAACTATTGTCTATATCCATGCACAATACTCACATCCAAGAGCCAGGGTGACTCCCGGTGACTGAACGTTTTGAGGTGGTATTGGACGGCAGGTGTAGGTACCTGCATGCTGACTGTCAAAGTTGTAGATGGCTGACAGCTTGTTGGACTGACCCAAATTGATCCCATTCTGATAAAGGGCAAAGTTCCTGCCAGGGGCGGCACAGCCTCGCGCCACACAGCTCAGAAAGACCGTCTCACCAGCAGCAAACATGTTGCCTATTCTCGGTGGATGTACATGAACCTGAAGCTCTGGAACCAGGACAATATTTCACTACATTAGGTCCATGCAACATGCTAAATTATTTTAGGAACAGGAAAGTGGGTTTTCTCCACAATTATATGCAAATAAACAACAAAAGAAAAAAAGTTTTAAATTTCTCTGTAATTGCTAGATTTTCTACAGAAAATGTGTGCAAAACTTTTGCTACAATTAGAAGATGTTGCCAGGCTGTTGATTTGTGGTTACTAGTGCGTTTCTAGGTGGTTGTGTAAATCACACTCTTTCCACCATTGGTCGAAAAATCAGGTAGCCCCGCCCACCAAAAAACACTGGCTTACTTAAGCTACCACTCCACTGAAAAGTTTGGGGTCAGTAAGATTTTTTAAAAATGTTTTTAAAAGAGGCCTCTTATGCTTATTTGGAAAAAAATTAAAAAATAATAATAATTCAAAACGGGAGTATTGTGACATTTTATTACAATTTCAAATAACTATTTTGTATTTGAATATATTTTCAGATGTAATTTATTCCTGTGATGCAAAGCTGAATTTTCAGCATAATTACTCCAGTCTTTAGTGTCACATGATCCTTCAGAAAATCATTCTAATATTCTGATTTGCTTCTCAAGCATGTCTTTTTATTATTAACATTGAAAATAATTGTGACGTGATTTTTTTTCACATTTATTTGAACATTGATTTGATTTATTTTATTTGAGTTTTTGTGTAACATTACAAATGTCTTTACTGTCACTTTTGATCAATTTAATGAATAAAAGTATTGTAAACTGTACTGACCCCAAACGTTTGAACAGTAGTCTATAGTTGCATCTGCATATTAAACTGGTTTTTATATTATTTAACATAAAAAATAACCTTTAAAATATAGCCTCACCTGTGACGGACAGTGTGATGGCATCAGGAGAGGTCCATCGGCCCTGCTGGTTGTCGGTCTCGAATCTGAAATGGTACGTTCCTGCATCGCTCAGCTTCGCGTTCGTGATCTGCAAGCTGCATCTTTTGTGGCCCCCCATGTATTTGATCCTGTCCCTGTACGAGGGGCTCAACAGATTCCCATCAGTATGGTAGGCGATTTCCCGTCTGCCTTCTGCAGAGATGTGAAACCATGTGACCCGTGTGGAGCTGTAGTGCGAGGGGTAATCATAGCGGCACGGCAGCGTTACCGTGGTCCCGGCCCAAACGCAGATGTCCGTCCTGGAGAAATACACCAGCCATTTACTTGCCCCGACTCCTATAAAGCAACAGAAGAGTAATCAGAGGCCGGGTATTGACCTTAGTAAGGTGTGCGCTGTTGACTCCAGTGGAAAAAAAAAACCCCAGGAAAAAACACAGATCGATACATTATAAATAACCTGTGCACCAAGGACACTCAGGTAACATAAGAGCACAGAATAGAGTCAGAGTAGCTGCAAAATGCATCCATTTATCTGTATAAAAACACAAGATACCTGTCCAAAATTACCTGACAGAAGAAGTACAGAGGTCACAATTATGTGCACCCACATCTCAGCCCTGTTTGTGTGTAAAAACAAGAAAGACTGTAAGTAACTTCAAGAATAATCATGAAATTAGTAGCCTACCTGGTTTTGATGTAACACTACCTGTTTCTGATGTTCTTCAGCAAGTGCTGACAGCCGTCTGTGGACGCATGGACCCGCACATGTGTTGAAGAGGGAGCTGAATGGCACCAGACGCACAGTGTGGGACGCTGAGCCAGAGAAAGCAGAAGTTGAAGGGTGGTGACAGGCTGGCCATCCCACTGTCTCACCTCCCGTCTCTCTGAGCCTCTAAACTCTGTCTCTGTCTCTGTCTCCAGTGAAACTCTACGCCACCTTCAGCAAGGTGCACAGGGCAATAATCCACATCCCTCCTGTTCACACACAAAACATGTTAAAAGGAAACGAGGCAGCAGGAAACATGTCTTTTAAAACACATTCACGTTGCCGCCTTCCTTAATTAAAAAAATCAATCTTTTCTTATGTTAAAGGCTAGAAATGGTTTCTTAGCCCTGCCATTTTTCAGAAAGTTGTTTACAATTTTATGACAGGGAACGTATCGTTTTTGTGCTTACAATGATTAATTATTAGCATGACTTCAAAGAATCTGTTTTGGAGGTGTCAAGAGAATTCAAAAAAAAAAGTAACCAGATATTTTTTTATGAAAATGAACCATGGGTTTACCACAGCAATCATAGAGTAACTTATGTATTCACACTAAAACCAGTAACCACAATACTTAACTAAAATGATCTATGGTTTTACTACAGGAACAAGAGTTTAACTGTGTTACTTAAATAGCTGAAACCACAAGTAAAACTCCCTTTTACTACTGTAAAAAATACTGAACTGTTTTTATTGAAATCTGCTCAGATCTGACTACATAAACATGTTTAACTGTGGGATCTTTTGAAGTAAAACTACCTTTTATAGAAATAAACTATGGTTTTATTACAGGAACAAGAGTTGTACTGTAGTATTTGTTGTGAAGGCATAGTAACCCTCCTAAAGGAAAATCTATTTGGCTATAGTGTGCTCATGGTTGTGAATTCATCAATGTAACTACGATTACAGCCTCACCGTGGTGTGAAGATAATAAGATTATGTTTTTAAAACACCGCAGTGACCTCTTGTGGTAAAAAAAATAAAAAATAAATAATCAAATACAATTTCTTAAAGAGAAACATTCGTTAAATGAAAACATAATGAGTGTGACTTTAAATCTGTCAGATGGGACACTCATATATATTTTGTCTGCTTACATCAACTAATATGCACGACTATTCAAATTTAGGCCTATATGTTTACAATGTCTTAGTCTTAAACTGTAATTGCAGAAAATACAGAGTCTAAAAGCAACGTGATTCGTAATATAATATGGAAATTGGCAAAACAGACGTTTCTAAATTATGCCGCACTATACTTTTCTGATGACAAAAACTAATCCTAGAAGGGAAGTTCAGAAGAAGGAAATTAATAAAGAAATTCTTACTTTGCTAAATTAACTGCTTAATAAGCAGATCAAGCTTGGCTTCAAACTGCCATCAGCATTAAAGGGGTCATATGATGCGATTTCAAGTTTTCCTTACTCTTTGGAGTGATACAAGCTGATTGTGCATAGATAAGATCCCTGAAGTTGCAAAGACTAAAGTCTCAAAACCAAAGAGATATTCTTTATCAAAGTTAAGACTCTGCCACGCCCCCCTAAAACGGCTCGTTCTAACACGCCCCCACATATCTACCTCACTATGTGGAGATATTTGCATAATGCCGCCCAAATGTGCACGCAAAGAAAGAAGGCGTGGTTTCAGTAACCGCAGTTAGTGTTGAAGCAGAATGTCAGGGAGACGCTGTGTGTTTCTAGGCGAAAGCAAAAGCACTTTATTTGGCCTTCCGAAAGTAGATGCATTTAGGAATCTTTAAGATTACTTACAACAGAACAGCAATGCATTTTATGGACGACCATTTCGTGAACCTAGGAGAGGAGGTTTCATCTCTGTGTCTGTCACGTGACTCTGTTCCCCTTTCGGGCTCTGTCTTTACATTTATTTTGTACATTTATTTTGAAAGATGAAGCATTTCCAATTATGGTAAGGGGCGTTACATTTCCGATGAGTGCTTGCGGTGTTCGGCCAATCACAATGCACTGGGTCAGCTGGCCAATCAGAGCAGACTGCGCTTGTCGGAAGGAGGGACTTTGTAGAAAACAAAGCGTTTGAGAGAGGCGGGGCATAGAGGACCTACAATAATGTACAGTATTTGAAAAATAATGTGTTTTTTGAACATTAAAGCATGTCAGCATATTCTGTTACACCAAATACACAAAATAATGATCTTTAAAAAAAGCATCATATGACCCCTTTAATACGAAGTTTCAGACAGAAGCACAGAATCGATTTTATTTTATTACGAGTGATGTTGAAGCATTTCTTAAAGTTACAAAAATAAAACCTACTAAAAGGACAATAATAGTTCTTATAATAATTGTTCTGATAGACGTTTCGTGTTGTTTTGCGTGTAGATTCCCCGTGCTTATGAATATTAATTAGATCAAATCGCACTTCCAGAAGGGCTGTACTTTGTTTGTAACCAAAAGTATCCGAATTAATATTCACAAACGAAATGTTCAGATGCGGTTATTTCACTCGTGCTGCACTTATCAGTATGGCAGTAAATAAAAAAAATTGTCTTCCTTCAGGAGGCGCACTGGCGCTCAGGATGCCGAGCACTCCATTGACTCCATTCAAAACTCAGGATATTTTAGTGCTTAATTAGAGACAACTGAACAGTAAAACGTTTGCATATTTTAAATACATAAATTCCAAGGATTGCTATCTGGCATGCAAATGGAAATCCGCCCCAGCAATCGCTAAAAAAATAAATAAATAAAAAAATACCTGATCAACTCACCATAATCGACTGTGATTGGTTCGTCCTGATTGGCGCTGAGAAAAGTAACAGTTACCTCGTGACAAAGTCTCCTTCGTACTGTTTTACCAGCGCTGTGAATAATATTAAATACACGAATAATGACACTGAAAAACTTTAATAGCATTGAATTGAAAATGCACAGTGGAAAGTTCAAATAAGAAAATAATTATTACCCGACCCACAAAGAAAACAAACGCTCAGTCACCAAGCCCCTCCCATTACGATTAGGGGCTAAATGCCATTCTATCCACTAAACAATTCTATATCCGCATGTGAAACTAATGGACCTGCTACAGTTGACAACATGAGTTTCGCTCTCTGGTGGACTGACAAGATCCAAGCCTAATAGTATTTGTATTAATATTTTTATAGAACAAATGTAATATAATTTATTATAGGTTAATTATTTTCTCTCTTAATTTACAGTAGATAGATATTTTGTTATGTTTGGTGTAGGATTCACTTTGAACGTTTTCACGCAGAAATTGCTAGTAAAGTTCACAAATAACTACACAGAAACCATAAGTAACATTGAATTTAACATGAAAGTTTGAAGTAGAAAAACTGAAATGGTGTATTTTCTTGTAACACATATTTCTATAATATTTGTTTTATTTACAAGAAGAATTAAATCTTTTACAGTGTGGGTTAATACATAAATATAATCGATGTAAAATGTAATCATCGATGTGAAGGGTCATATTTCCCTTATTTCTGTCTCTCCTTACCAGGTTTTACTTGTACAAACTCCCACACCTGCATCATGAGCCTGTGCAGGAGGGGCTGAAGTATCTTTTCATGGATGGAGAGAGTGAGGGATGGATGGATGGGAAGACTTTAGTTAATGACAGTCAAAGTGCTGTTGGTAGAACAGTAGGGCCTTTATATGAGGTACAGGTCACACTCTTTACATAAATTATCTAAATTAAAAAAATGAAACGTTCAGATTTGCTTAAACCATTTTCTGTTCTTTCATTATCAGTCATTTTCTGGCTGATTTTAGAGAAGTTACTCTGCTTATCCTGTTCTGTAGTCTGCACATTTTGCCAGTTTTGCAGAAGTATAAAAACAGAGTTTGCGTCTCCATTGCAAGGTTTAATTATAAATCTTTGTCAAATCTATTGAGATTTAGAATCACATTTACCAAACAAGTTTTTTCTGTTTACACACATGCAGCAAGATCAAACTGAAACTCAAATGTATGGCTTTAGGTGCACATACATATTTCATAATGCTTTGTCACAAGGCATCTGATCCATTGTCTCATACAGTCATGTTTATTACCAGGAACAGGGTTGGGAAAGGTTGTACGAGTCAAGGCTGTATGTTTCAGAAGTGCCTAAAACCCCCTTTACATGGTTTCAAGCGGCTTATTTATTCTGTAAAACAGTGAGTAATATGGTAATTAACAACAAAACTTTTAACAAAACATTTTTAATTATTAGTATTAGCTTGGATACCATAACCAGCCTACAGTTAGACAACAACAACAATAATAATAATAATAATTATTATTATTATTATTATTGTTGTTTATTTTATTTATTTTATTTTCTATGGTTTGTCTTATGGTAATGTAATAGATTTTCATATTATGTCATTTATTTCTCTGTAATATATTTCCTTATTATTATCGTTGTTGTTGTTGTAAAATAATAATAAGAATATTAACAATAATAATAATTATAAAAACAACAACAATTATAAAAATACTAATTATTATTGCCATTATTATTAATATTGTAGTTTAATTTAATTTGATTTATTTTGTTATTTTGTTGTTTGTCTATCTTATGTTAATAGAATATAATTTTATATAATGTAATTTATTTCCCTGTAATATATTTTTATGGAATGTAATTATTTCTCAGTAATATGTTTGTGTGTGTGTGTATATATCTATATCTTGTAATGCATTTTATTTCTGTGATATATGTTTTCCACAGGTGAGCAGTTGAAAATCAATCAGCCTCACATATATGACTGCAGCATCCCTGCTTCTTTGGCCGCTGCTGTACCTGCTATGGCTCAGCTCTGTAAACACACACTGGGCAGATGGGACAACACTTCCTCCTCGCCATCCAATCGCAGTGTCTCACTCCTCTCACTGGCTGGGACAGAGTTCATTAACTTTGCAAAAGGTGCATCATTTGCCAATGGTAAGACTCATTTTTAATACTGATGTAATGGTGAAAGTGACACTTTAACGGCAGCCAAATGAGTTAAACGATCAAGATTTAAACATTTAGCTCTTTTTGTTAAACAGATATGTTCTGGTCATGTTGAGGATGGATTCTTTCATCCGTTTGCACTGTTTTTAAAATCATTTTTCTATGTAAATATGTACTAGATTGTAGTGCTGGGCGGTATACCGGTTCATACCGAATACCGGTGTTAATTTTTGTTATTATATGAATTTTTAAAATACAGCAATACCGGTATGTCGCTTAAACACCGTTCTGAACGCGACACTGTTTGAAAGGGGTCCCGTTTCACTGTTGCACTGTGGTGAGGGAACAGCTGTATGTGTTACTAAGCGTGAAAGTTCAGAAACTGAAGCTGTAGAACTAATAGAACGTGATGACACAGAAGAACTCATCCACAATATCCACATTGACCGCCACAAATATCCACCGCCCCCTGCCATCAGCTCCCGCGTCTCACACACACACACGAGGCACGAGTGCGACTTTAGCACTAGATTTAGCAACTTTCAGACCCATTTAATCAAGATTTAAACATTTAGCTATTTTTGTTAAACAGATATGTTCTGGTCATGTTGAGGATGGATTCTTTCATCTGTTGCACTGTTTTTAAAATAATTTTTCTATGTAAATATGTACTAGATTGTAGTGCTGGGCGGTATACCGGTTCATACCGAATACCGGTGTTAATTTTTGTTATTATATGAATTTTTAAAATACAGCAATACCGGTATGTCGCTTAAACACCGTTCTGAACGCGACACTGTTTGAAAGGGGTCCCGTTTCACTGTTGCACTGTGGTGAGGGAACAGCTGTATGTGTTACTAAGCGTGAAAGTTCAGAAACTGAAGCTGTAGAACTAATAGAACGTGATGACACAGAAGAACTCATCCACAATATCCACATTGACCGCCACAAATATCCACCGCCCCCTAGCATCAGCTCCCGCGTCTCACACACACACACGAGGCACGAGTGCGACTTTAGCACTAGATTTAGCAACTTTCAGACCCATTTAGTGGCTTTTTTCCCATAGAATATTCATACTGACAAACCTAGCGACTTTTTTGGATAAACCTTAGCTATGGTTCAGTTGGAAGATTTCGCCAGTGCTGTCCCGCGAACGCAAGGTCTGACTTTCCTGGAGAAGTGTCACCTCTCTCGGTGTCTGTTTTGTGCCGTGAGCGGCAGAGAAGCAGCGCTTTCAGTTGGCAGCACCGCAACAGACTCGTCAATAAATGAGTACAAAACAGCATTTCCTAGCACCTGTCGCTTACTGATTGTTTTTGGAATTATAAATATGAGCGTAGTTCTTCTGTTAATATCACATGCACTTTTTTGTTTGTTGTTGGTTTTTTTAGTTTGTTACTCAGACGCAGGCAGTGCGCTGCATGAGACAAAAAAGTAATAGAGCCAAAACAACTGCATAGTAATCCCACTAATTCCTTAGTGTATATGCATGTTGATTTTATCAGACGATGCCGCGATTATAAATGAGTGACTCCTGGTTAACATGTATTAAAAGGGGTCGTGTTTAGTCGCTATTTAGTGTGGTATTTTTTGACAATATTCACTCATCATGACCGTAAAATAGGGCATTCTAAGTCGATATGTTGCAGTATTTCCTCTCAATCAGTAGAAAATATGGTTAACACCCGGTCATGCATCAAAAAAAAAATACCGCCATTTACCGTGAAACCGGTATAATTTTGAAAAATACAGTGATATAAATTTTTGGTCATACCGCCCAGCACTACTAGATTGACATATTTGACAGTTCTGATGCATCTTGCTGTTATTTTATTCCATGAAACACTTGCCAAGTTAAGAGAAGTTCAGCTTATATACACACCTAGAGCCCTATGATATCTGCTTAAGTTTTCCATTTTATTTATTTATTTATTCGTTTTTTTATTTTATTTATTAAAAATGGTATATGGTATATTTTATAATGGTATATAATTAAAATATTACATTTTATTTATTTAACATATTTTCATAATTTTGACTGGTATTTGGATTTATTTTGGGGGTTTATTTTTCTGGACTCCATTTTAATGGTCACATTAATTTTAGTCATAAAAAAAACATGCCTAATTCACTAAAATAAAAAAAAAATAGATGTAAGATTTACTAAAAACAGTTTTAACTCAGAAATTGCTGGTAAATTTCACAAATAATTACAAAGAAACTGCAGTGTAACACATTATATTTAATGTGAATTTTTTAAGTAGAAAGACTGAAATAGTATTTTCTGGTAAAATACTCCAATAATCTTTGTTTTATTTACAACTTCGAAAAATTGTGTTTTACAGTCTATGCATTTTATAAAAAATAAGAAGTAATACTCACTTTTTCTCTGTTTCTTTCATAATCAGATCTGTATCACTCTTGGGTGGCACCTACACTTCAGTCCGACCTGCTGGTTCAGTTCTGGCGTCGCTCCACGGGCATCCTTCCCTCAGACTGCTCTCCAAGCTGGAAGGTCCTCAACATAGATCTCATTTCCCCAGGCCAGAGAGTTACGTTTAAGGCTACAGGGGACCATTCGAAGTGGGCCGTCAGTATGGGTGGCAGTGCTGGAAGTGGGACGTCTAGCGGCTGGGTCTGCGTAGGAGATATCAACCGTGACGAGGCGGAGGAAAGGAGAGGTGGAGGTACAGTGTGCCGTCAGGATGCTGCGGTGTGGAAGGCCTATCGCTCGGCCGCCCTGCAGTGTGAGACCTGTGGTGGAGAAGTGCAGACGTGTGATAAAGCCGCACGGTATCGCTGAAGCGGACACAGAATAAAGAATTCAAAATCAGGTATATATATATATATATATATATATATATATATATAT